AGGCAGTGGCAAATCTAGACCATATCAAGAGTATAAATATGGCAGATATGGTGGGATGAACAGAATGAACGGTATAAATATAAACAGAATTATCAGTGGAATATAAATATGGCAGTATTAACAGAATTACAGTATAAATATAAATATGGCAGATAAAAACAGGATTAAGAGTATAGGCAGTGAGGTCTATCAAAAAATAAGATGTATACAGTGCAAACAGTGTTGTAAACAGCTGGTGTACAGCAGTTGACTGAACACAGTGCAATTGGTTTGCAGAGTTTATATATATATAAACTCTACAAACCAGTAGAGTTTGTGTCAGTGTCCAGTGTTTGTGGGGGCAGAGAGCAGAGAAGGAAGTGGGGGGAGTGCTGGGAGAGAGTTCAGCATCCTGATGGCTTGGTGGATGAAGCTGTCCCTCAGTCTGCCAGTTCTCACCCGGAGGCTCCTCATTCTCCTCCCGGAAGGCAGGAGGCTGAAGAAGGGGTGGTTGGGATGGGTGGAATCGCCATCAATGCTGAGTGCTTTTCGGGCCAGGCTTTCCGGCAGGATGCAGTGCAGCTGCCGTACCACACAGTGATGCAGCTGGTCATGATGCTCTCAGTGGTTCCATGGTAGAAGGTGTGCATGATGGGGTCCGGTGCTCTGGCCCTTCTCAGTCTGCGGGGAAAGTAAAGGCGCTGCTGAGCTTTTCTGGCCAGTGATGCGGTGTTGCTGCTCAAGGAGAGGTCCTCACTGATGTGCACACCCAGGAACTTGGTGCTGCTCACTCTCTCCACAGCAGCACCGTTAGTGGAGGGTGTTGGGTGGAGGCTCTCCGGAAGTCGACAACAATCTCCTTCGTCTTCTCCACATTAAGAGAGAGATTGTTGCCTCTGCACCACGCGGCCAGTTGGCTCACCTTGTGCCTGTAGTTTGAATCATCGTTGTTGTTGATGAGTCCCACCACAATAGTGTCGTCCGCAAACTTGATGAAGAGGTTGCTGTTGTTTGTTGGTGTGCAGTCGTGGGTCAGCAGGGTGAAGAGTAAGGGTCTGAGCATGCATCCTTGGGGGGCCCCTGTGTTCAGTGTGATGGTGCTGGATGCGTTGCTGCCAACCCGTACTGCATGTGGTCTTCCGGTCAAGAAGTCCAGCAACCAGTTGCAGAGTGAGGTGTTCAGTCCTAGACAGTCCAGTTTCTGTATCAGCTGCTGGGGGATGATAGTGTTGAAAGCTGAACTAAAGTCTAAGAACAGCATCCTCGTGTAAGAGTCCTTAGTGTCCAGGTGAGTGAGAGCTGAGTGGAGGGCAGTGGAGATTGCATCATCGGTGGACCGGTTGGCCCGATATGCAAATTGGTAGGGGTCCAGGGAGGGAGGGAGGATGGATTTGATGTGCTGCATGACTAACCACTTGAAGCACTTGGTTGGTCGGTGTTACAGCAGCACTTTTGTCAGACTCTGAGTCTCTGCTTTGACAGCAGCACCTGATGGCTGCCAGAGGAACTGAAGTTTCATTATAACAATTTTTTCATGTTCAAATTTTCTAGATGATTCTGATCAGCGGAGAGAGGTCAACATCTGCCCTGTAGTGGACAACACAATTCCAGTTTGTTTGTCCTCAGCTCTTTGATTCATCACCCAAACCTCCGACCTCTGGATCAAAGGAGTCATGACTCTGGATTCAAATGTTCTCTTCTTCATCACACACACACACACACACACACACACACACACACACAATCCACAGCTGCTCACTGGGCTGATGTGTGTTTCCTAGGT